TTAAATTCACTGAATTCTTTTATCATGTGTATAATTTTTCTTTTGCATTCCATGTCCTGCATTATCTCTAGGGGGTTCTCACTGTACTCCTGTAGAGGATTATTATTATTTGGTACAGATGTTATTTTGGGTTTTCATGTTATTATTTTTTTTCTCTGTGACTTTGACATGTGAATTTCTTTTGTAATTTCTGATTCTTGTGTGAGACTCAAGCCTTCAAGTGTAGGTCTGTTTCATTTTGTAAACTTTATGTGTCTGTGTGGTTTACTTGTTGGGCTTGAAAAGCTGGTTGGTCTAGGCTTCAGGTTCTCTCTTTTGATTTTATATTGGAGTAGCCAAATTGCTTTTGTCTTCAGAATTTCCCACAGAGTCCCAAGTGAGATGAGGATCAGATGCTCTCAGGCTTTCTCTTGAGGTCTGGATCCCTCCAGGAAAAATGTGTCCTCAGGAATTTGGGGGCTGGACTGGCCTGGGGGCAGCAGCCAGGAAAATACTGGTCTTGGGCAGCTGGTGGCCATGCCACCCATGGAAGCAGAGGGAGATGAGGGCAGGATCAGACCCAGAGGGCTCCTGGGGACCTCGAGAAGGAACTGGGTTGGTCTGGATGCAGAGGATCAGGAAGCAGTGATGGTTTTGAGCCAAGTGGTCAGCCCCAGTGTCTGGGGTGCCAAGACAAGAATTGGGTCAGTACCCAGGCTAGGAGGAGAGACAGGGCGAGGGAGGTGGAAGGGGGAATAAGGCTGGGGGAGTTAAGGCGCAGTGGGTGCCACTGGACTTACCCAGAAAAGAGGCTGGTCGGTGGTGCAGCCCAGAGAAGTAGAGGGAGGTGAGGGCGGGACCAGGCCCAGAGACCCAACGCTTTTTAAAAATGAAAAGTCTCACTGGGCTTGGTGTTACATGCTTGTAATCCCAGCACTCAGGAGGCTGAGGCAGGAGGTTGTGACTTGAAGCTAGCCTACACTTCATAGTGAGCCCTGGCTCAAAAACAAAACAAAAACCCAAAGGTTGGTGACTATAGCTCAGTTGTAGAGCACTTGCATTGTATGCACAAGGTCCTAGGCTGGCTCACCAGCCCTGGGGAAAAAAAAAGTTAGTTTCTCATAAGAAATGAAATAGTTTTGCATTAAAATCCAAAGAAGTCATAGGGTAACTGGTATTAGCCTCTTGGTGAAGTTCTTGTTATCAGTGGTTTCAATTTCTCTTACAGATGTTTCTGCACTTTGAGGATCATGGATTAGTGACTTGCTCTGCTGATCATCTCATCATTTTGTGGAAAAATGGAGAGCAAGAATCTGGATTACGCAGTTTAAAATTATTTCAGAAGTTAGAAGAGAACGGTGACTTATACCCTGCTGTCTAGTTTAAGGAATTGGATGAATACATGTGCATGAGCCTTGAGCATCAAATTTAGAGTAATACTCTGAAAACCATTAACGTATTGGTCACTTAGATTTGTAATTTTGTTTCTTGGTCATAAAGTTCTGTTTGTTTGACTTCTTTTTTGTGTGCCTATAAGCTAGCAACAAGTATATCCACCAAAGAACATACTACAGATTTTTTCATTGAACTATATGCTGCTGTGGAAGTGGTGAGTGTTGTGTTGAGTTTCTTAAAGCAACAGAAACCAGAGTTAATTGTAAAGCTATAGCATTCTTTAGAAGTTTTATTTTGGGTTCCTTTAGAGACTTTTAAATTAAGAATTCTCATGATAAATATATCATTTCTACTACAAAGTTCCCTGGTCTTTAGTAATATCAGTGTTTAGTAGAATCAAACTTGAATATTAGCCAAAAATGAATTATTTTAAATACAGTGGTTCTTTTTGGTACCAATTAATTTAAGTCATTGAAAAAATATTTAGTTGTAACTAATGAAATCCCTCTATACTCCAGTCCATAGATGTAAAGGTACATTTCTTTCTCAGTGTCTACTGGCCTGAACAGTAATTAGCCAGAACAGTACTCAAGTGCTCTGGGGATGAATGCTGGATCAAGGCAGCAGTTTATCAAGGTCAGGGACTGCAGCTGAAGTGCCTGGTCATCTGCCTTTGATACGAGACTATTGTGACTATCACGATTGGACCATCTTCATCACCCTGCCAGCCTCATGACAGAATACTCTCACTTTTGGTGCTGAAAAATGAAGAATATCATACACAGTAAAAATGGGGAATGAAACCAGGCATGATGGTACATGCCTTTAATCTCAGCACTCAGCATGCAGAGGCAGGTGGATGTCTGTGAGTTCAAGGCCAGCCTGGTCTACATAGTGAGTTCCAGGCCAGCTAGGGCTACAGGGAGACCTTGTCTCAAAAAGACCAAAAATGAATGAATGAATGGATGAATGAATGAACAAATGAATGAATGGGCTGGAGAGATGGTTCAGAAGTTAGTGAACCCAAGTTTGGTTCCCAGTACCCACACAGCGGTTAACAACCATATGTAACTACAGTTCCAGGGGATCTGGCCTCCATGGGCATTGCATGACACAGGTGCACTTATGGAGAGGAATTACTCTTAAACTGCTGATATGGAATCCAATGAAAGGCAGATGAGTGACATTAGCACCCGATCCTTTTCTAAGAATACTTCTTCAGACCTCTTCATCACACACACAAATACTCATACTCCCTAAACAGAATGTGAGTTCCAGGCCAGCTAGGGCTACAGGGAGACCTTGTCTCAAAAAGACCAAAAATGAATGAATGAATGGATGAATGAATGAACAAATGAATGAATGGGCTGGAGAGATGGTTCAGAAGTTAGTGAACCCAAGTTTGGTTCCCAGTACCCACACAGCGGTTAACAACCATATGTAACTACAGTTCCAGGGGATCTGGCCTCCATGGGCATTGCATGACACAGGTGCACTTATGGAGAGGAATTACTCTTAAACTGCTGATATGGAATCCAATGAAAGGCAGATGAGTGACATTAGCACCCGATCCTTTTCTAAGAATACTTCTTCAGACCTCTTCATCACACACACAAATACTCATACTCCCTAAACAGAATCTTAACTTTCACAACTGTCTATAGTCAGGGACTGGCAGAGTTCACTAAGGTCATCTAGGTAGGTCAGTGGCATAATATTAGAAATGAAAAAGCTGAGGCCATTGGAGGTAGGTCTTGCAGTGCCTACAGTGCCCATTATCGTCATGAATGGCTTTGAAAACAGAAATCTAGGAGTAAGAAAGACTGAGGTTACTTTATAACCACCAAGTTAGGAAAACCAGAGTCTTCACAACTCTTGTTGCTGTTTTAATTCATAATAAAAATAGCTTGTGAATGAAAGATTAAGATTGCCTTTTTTTTTTTTTTTTTTTTTTTTTTTTTTTTTTTTGAAAAGCTGAGACAGGGTCTCCCTGTAGCCCCAGCTGGCCTGGAACTCACTATGTAGACCAGGCTAGCCTCAACTCAGAGATCTGCCTGCCTCTGCCTCCCAAGTGCTGGGAATAAAGGCACATACCACCACACCTGGCAAGATTGCCTTTTAGCCAGTAAACCATTATTATGCGTGGAGTCACACAAGACGTAGCTTTCTAATCACTCATCCTGAAGATGAAATGTGGTAGCACCCCTCAGCCAGGCAGACTTGCAGTCTGCTCTGAGTGCATCAGATTGCTAGTCACTTTGGTTCAGTTGTTTTAGACACACTTAAAGCTTTTAATTTTCCTTCCCTTTTACTAGCTTTTATTTTTTATTGTTTTGCAAATTACATATTAGGACATTAGTAAAGATGTTTTCTTAAATGACTTAAGACATAAGGAATTCATAAGTTTTTAACTTTGTATTTCCCAACCTGTTTGGGATTAGTTTTTTGTGCTAGTAATCTACTCAAATGGAGTGGTAGAAACCACAGAATACTTTTAAGAGCAAACAGTAACAGTACCTTAGCAAATCTTTGCTGTCATTATACTCAGTTTTCCACCATGAGAAACTTGAATGTCCAGAGCAGGGGTGGGCCTTTTGTTTGCATGAGTGCTCTGAGTCCAGAGAAATGGAGCATGATAGGAGCTTCTGGCAAAGATGGCAACCCAGTTACTGTTCAGTTGTTCTATGTAGGCTGTTACTAAGAGTTGTACTTTAATTCAGAAGAAGAAAATCATAATTAAGGTAGGTATATATTATGTGCATTTTTTTCCTATTTTTCTCAGTTTCAACACCAGAACACTGTATTGTATACCTTGTGATTTGTATTTTAAATTACTTTCACCTCAGTCGATAGGTTCATTTATACAATGCAGTCTTTTTCTCTCAAGTTGAGTGGGTGCTGACTGTGCTGACGGGGCTTTTCTTTGCCTGGGAGGCTAACTAGTCCTGACTATGGGATCATTCTGGTCCAAGTAACAATATTTTATAACTGATTCCTTCCTTTGGGTAGTAATAGTACTCATGTGACCTCTCTTCTAGTTAGATGATTTTACATTTTCCTAAGTTAATATAGCTCCCCTCAACACATGGTATCTTAGTAAACAATTAAGAGCAAATGCCAATTTTAATAGTTTATATGTATTATATGGAAACTATATTTATCACATGAAATTTTTAATCACCTGAAATCCCGTATTTCTAATAAATTGACTATATGAAAGAATACGCTAGTTAGCAACTGAGAAGATTACACTGTAATTTACACTGATAAGGAGCAGAGTTGTACTGGAGCTTTAGCACTGAGTGACTTTAAGCATTTCACATCTACAAATTAATATTAACCTTTGAAGTTAACATGAAATTGAAGCTAAACACTGAATAAGCTGTAATGCCTCATATAGAAAATGTCAGGTGCCTGGTAACTGTTACTTTCCAGGTAGAACTGAAAGTGAGATGGTCACTCTCCTTGTACCAAGCAAGTTTATGAAGCCTAAGCAGATTATTTTGCTCCCTAATAAGAAATTTTAATGTGTTCTGAAAACAAACTTAGTGACTCATGAAATAAAGGACACTAAAACCCAGGATTTTAAATTATGAAAAATTTAGGCCAAAGACAGAAAATAAAAACAACTGTTTGGAATGAAAAAATGACTGTAGGAATTTAGTTACAAGTACATCACAAAAACATTCATCACATTTACATAATGCAGTAGTACAATACAAAGCTGGCTGCTATCCTGACTTAACAAGTCCTCTTACCGTCTAACAAAAATAATTTATACATTTCTTTGCATGGAATTGTCATATGTTTCCATTTTTTGATACAAAACATAGAAAAAAAATATTGGCACATTACATAGTGATACATCATTTTTTCCTTCCATATACCAGTTTTACATACTCTGCAGTCCAATTTTCATTTGGAAAAAAGTAATTATCTACTGATCCAATTAGTTCAGTTTTAATATCTCTTAAAAATGCAGCATGGAGTACAGATAAAACAAAACTAAGATATTTGTGTTCTGAGTTTCTGCTATTGATAACAGAGAAGGTATGGCTGATAAAAGAGAGAGGGAAAGTCATATCTGACTTTATGCAGATCACAGAAAGTTGTGAAAAGAGCTGTATAAAAATATGCACTTGTGCTTTAGAAGCTCTAGCATAAGTTAATAGCTTAAAATAGTATTTACTGCCCCTCCATATGCCTATTTTCTGATATATTTACACTTCTTGTCATCCCTTCTTTTTACATCATTAAAGCAAATGACGTGATCTCAAATGTAGAGAAGTTAAAAATACCTGAACCTTGAAACCTCCCCACACTTCCCCAGATATGGACGTACTGGTGATGCACAAGAACTCCATGGCGGAGGCCCAGGGAATTTAGATCATTTTAATACAAATTTTAAACAGCAAGTATATATAAATTTTTTCTTTTCAATTTTTAAAAAAAATGCTGTCCAGGGGCATTCAGATTTAATGGCTTTTATAGAATGCTCATTGCCTTGTGGCTGCTTCTGTGAGCCTGAAATAAGGGAAGCTCGTGGATTCCCCCTAAGCAAGATCCCACTCCTTCCCCCATCAGTTGGCATTCTGTAAGGTGAAGTCCTTCTAGAGGAAAGAGGGCGCACAGGCTGCTGATCTCCATCTAGAGGGCGCTCACTAGACCTGGGCTGCACTCTAACTTGGTATCTCACCATCCACCAGAACCACGTAGGCATGGAAGCTGTGATACTAACTAGAGTTTTGATAATTTGGTCCTGGTTATACTCATGTTAGGTAGCTTTTTTCTTACATGAATCTGTAAGAGATACATGTAAAAGAGCTTCTTAAGAATCTCAGACTTTTGCTCTTGAGGAAAGTAGTCAAGCTAAACAGTGATGGTGAGTTTTCTGGCAAAAGTTTAGCTGAACGCTGGCTAGGCTATCTGGTTTCCACCCAGGGGATGGGCTCACAGCACCAGGTCTTTGCTTCTGCTTCCTGCTGGATAGCTACAGTGAGTCAGCCCCATGGTGTTACAAGGGCTCACAGGGAAACAGCATGGCAGAGGAGGCTGCCAAGCGCTCATTCTCTCACGAAGTGGTCATTCAGAAGAACACGTTTTTACTGAGAACATAACTTTCTAAAAATGAAAATTGGGGGTGTACGTGATTCAGGGTCAAATATGAAACACTCTCTCCTTAACCTATACTTGTCATTTTCATTATGAGGGAGACCTTGTTGTTTATACTGCTGTGTGAGTCACAGTGTCCTTTGAAGATCAACAGGTCCCTTCTCTGGCTTGGCTTTAGCTGTCAGATGGGAGTCTCAGACTTTTGCACTTGAGGTCATCTAATGTCTTCCAGTGCTTGTAGTTATCAGCCAAATGCTGCATCAGTGCTGGCAGATGTGCAAAGGCTGCAAGGATATAAAAGAATCAAAAGAAACCCATTAAATTAAGTTGGATACCAGGAGAATTTATTAGTTTTAGGCTGAGGTTCTCTGGGATCAGAAATGGAGGACACAGTAACGTGCTTACTATGCAAACATGAGGGCCTGAGTTCAATCCTTAGGAACCCACATAAAAAGCTGGGTGTGATGGCAAGCTGGGCATGGTAGCCAGCTTTAGGGTGGCAGAGACAGGCAGATTCCAGGGGCACCCTGGCAGCTAGCCTAGCCTCATCAGGGAGCTCCAGCTCCAGGCCATTGAGAGACCCTGTATATAAAGAGCCACTACACCCAAGGATGACTTCTAGACTCTACTTGTATACATCTGTATGTGCATGTATACCTACAAAAAGGAGAGGTACCCCAGGCTAGGCCTCAGGCAGCAAGTGAACACAAGCAGAAGATGGGCAGGTCATTAAACACTAGTTTGTTTTCTTTTCTTAGTGAAGAATTGAACCTAGGGCTTTGTGCATATGGGACGAACATTCCACCACTCTAAGTGATATTCCAAGCTTTAAGCATTACTTGCTGAAATACAACCAGGTTTTTAAATCAACTAACAAGCTGTTTATCTGGGACATTATCAGAAGAACCTGAAAAACACGGTAGATGTGTTTCACTTCGTTCTCTTTCTGGAATTTCTTCCATTGTGAGAGCAAAAGTAAGTGTTGTACACTTTGGAAATACGTCCACCAAAAGGTGAAAACTTCTTTATTCAGTTAACACACATTCATTGGATATTTTGCACTCAAGATCCTGTGTCAGGTGCTGGGGATACATAAAGTGTTTATGTACCCACCCACCTTACCTGGCCACAAAGAGCTGATAGCTTTAAAAAAATGTTTCATTTACCTTTAGGTCTAACCTATGTCATTAAAGGTATTCATTATAAAGTGTAACAGTGCTATTTGTGGGTGGTAAAGCAGTAACTTGACTTACCATCCCAGGCATCAAACATGTCTGTTATGAAGTAGTCAATGAAGGAGATCTGGGACTTAGGGATGCTGCAGGTATTGCGGTCAAACACTGGCATCACCACAGGTAGTCCCTGTCTCTTCTCTTCATCAGTCTATGAGGAAAAAAACACCACTGCGCTGGGTTGTGTGGCGCCTGAGAAGCCTTTACAGTAACAGATTGCTTCTTAGAAGACCCCATGAGTAAGGGTCACTGCCCAGTGAAAACAAGCTCAGCAGTTTCCTGACACTTCTAAGTCAACCACCAGAAGACCAGGTTTTCTCATACCCAAATCCATCCCTCCCT